GAATGCCGCACTCCTGTAACCTTTTGCATAACTTTGCGAATCCGCTTGACCGAGAACAAGTATCGAGAACGGCCTTACGCCGTTATGTGATAAGTCGCGTGTCCGTTAATGTTGGCGCGAGTCACTCGCGCGGTCGTGAGTCACCGCCGCGCCGCGCCGCGCGGTCGTAACCTCGTAGCACATTTGGCACCCGGCCGGGGAAACATATTCTAATTGACCGATCGACTAAGTTCTCACGACGCCTCGGTACGCCCGACAAATAGATGAGAGAGAACCGAGGCGATCGAGCGCAAGGGGCAAAGTAATTGATCGGCGTTTCGAGGAACGCCCGAGATAGGACTAGGTACTGGTTGCCCGTTCAATTTCCATAAGAATCGCTTCGGCCATCTGGTTGATACGAGTTAATATAACTCTACGTGGTATATACACATACTCGGCATTGCCGTGGCGTGAGAGAGTATGCGGCAACCGGCGCGGCGTTAATGTTATTGCCACCGATTGCTGGTAGTAATTATCTTATCGCGCCGCGTGATCGTTCTCCTTACGCGTACGCGCCGCCGACGCTACGGTATCTTTATTAGTAATAACTTAACACGCGCGTTAATAATATCCAGCCCATTCATATATGGTTACCGGGCTGTCCGGCACGGGGAAGGTTTAACCGTGGAGCTCGACTATTCGACGGCGCGATGATCGATCGTTTCCTTAGATTCTGCGGGAAGCCGGTATCTCGTTCGGTCACACACACACACACGGCCTGCGACTTATTATAATCTCTCTCTCGAGCGTTCAATTCCGAATTGCCGTTTCGTGAAATAAGGTAATCGGCGATGTAAGATCATTCCGTTGTCCCCTTTATCGAAAGGAGGTCGATGAGACGCGCAGAACCGCCGAATTATGGAGCACGTGATTGGTGATCAAGGGCGGACGCGGATGGCCGCGGAGAGCGCGGTCGTTTCCCTGCCTGCGAAATTCCGCGGTGCGAGATAACCGTTTGCGATTGAACCCGATGGGACATCCGAGAAACCGTTATTCCGCCATGGTGACGCGATGGTACAGGCACCTGGTACCGAGCGCTGCCTGCCCCTCTCCGATCGGCCTTTCCTCTCTTCCTCTCTACCGCCCCCTTCTTTCTTTCACTCCGTCTTTCCACCTTTTTCCCGCGCGCGTCTCGCGCGCTGGAAGGCTTCCCAAGTGTAGATCGCTCTCCCGAGCGGTGTCTCCGCGGAGACACCGATGCCCGACCGCCGCTGCCGCGCGGGTCGCGTTGTTCACACGTGAACATTCAATTTTGCTCTCTTTGAAGCCCCCTTCTTTTTCCTTCGCTCCCGTTTCTCGTCCCGTTTACCGCATGGCATAGCGCAACTCCCGCTCCTCGAGATTCTTGGTATGCGTCCGCTCTCTCCCTCTCTGCCCCTTTCTCCCTCTTTCTCTCTCTCTCTTTCTCGCGCGCGACATAATAAACATAATTACTATTTACCAGACACGTATCATCGGCTCATTCCACGAGTCTTCCATGCACGGCCACAACAAGTACCGGCTAATGACAGAGAGTGCCCCGTGTCCGTTTGCCCCCCGTCTAGTTCCTCTCGCACCGAGGGAATTACTTTGGTCACCATGCGCTGGTGCACCACGCGTGCCGCCCCCAGCGTGAAAACGCTCTTGCTCGTTTGCATATCCGCCGCACGATCGAGCTCCTCGTATTCATATTCCCACCAATTAAACGCAGCCATCCGATGTCCTTACATCGGTACGCGCGATATCGTTATGCGCGCACGTGCAACAGCGATTTTGCGGCCGGATGCATCCGCGATTGTCCGAATCGGTCAACATCGCACGCTCGCGCGAGTCCTGCAAAATGATACCGCCTCTCTCACGCCACTGACGGCGGAAGCAATTGCGAAATGAATTAACTTTGCGGCCGATTCGGCGGCGATCCCCCGAGGCGATCGATCCGTTATGTTGCGTTACGAAAGAGCCGGGAGAGAATCCGAGGCAATACCGGGAATCTCCGCGTGCTTATCTCCTGTATTATACAGAATCTTTATCGCGGCTGAAAAATAACGGGCGACAAACGCGCTTAGCCGTTAGATCCCTTCTCTCTCCTGGTATCTCGTCCGTCAACATACCAAAAAAAGAGAACCTGTCAAATAAGTGACGGCGAAGGCCGCGTGTAGAAAGAGGATAAGAGGACGTCAAGGGGCTAGTAAATCCTTGTCAGTGTATAACTTAAAGTATCACGGCTCACCCGGCTTTGGCTTAGCCCAAACACGAACGTAGCGTGTCATCGTGCGAAATAGACCCTATTGAACGCGCGATCGCGGAAGATTTTAAAGTAGGTGGGCGGCCGGCGGGTTCAGAATCCGCTAAATCCGCATTGACAGCCGCGAGCTGGCTATTCTCGGCGCCTAAAGTGGCGTGACTTCACTCCGATCCCGACTGGGAATGTGAGAGGAGAAAAATAGGAAAGAGAGAGACAAAAAAAAATAGAAAACGGAAAGGTGGAAGAAGCGCGCGGGGAATCTGGGCGGGGATACGCGAGGTAGCCGATCAAAGAGAAAGAGAAAGAGGTAGGAGACCAGCGGCGAGATATGTTTTCAATGGTGTGTACCCGGCGATCGAATTGTGCGTACCGTTCTGTCCTCCTTAGACGGCAGCGGCCTCGGGTCCCCTCCGGCAGACGTCTTCGGTCGCTCGTGGAAGAGCCACACTGCCAGGTGTACACCAGTGCCTAAGAGCCAGTCGGCCGACATAGTTATACTCCCCTGAGCGGCCGCGATCGGTCTCTCGCGAGGCTCTCTTCGGCGCGCATCACCATTGCGAATCGGGCCGGTGCCGCGTCTGTGATTTCGTGGTGGTTTTACGCGACATGCGCGACAAACAAAAGTAAATTGGTTTTCTTCGCCCCTTTCGCGATTTCTCTTTCTCTCCCTCTGGTGTCTACTCCTCCCCTTTTCGCCGGACTCGCAGGATCGGTGCCAGGCTTGGCCCACGTTTGTGTGTACCGTTTTCCAAGCATTGTTGTGCGCTAACGGCCATTCTCGCAGAGCTCGCTCGCTTGCTCGCGCGCGCGCGCGCTTACCGATGATCCCGTGAGAAAGGTGCCCGTGGAATTCGCCTTCGCGCGCGGCGCAGGAGTGCGGGATAAAGCGCCGCCGAATTGCAACGTGCAATATCGCGCCAGCGGCAGAGATCGCGGGCAATTCGCGTCCCACAAAATTCGACGTTGATACATCGGCTGCTGCTGCCGCTGCTGTTGCTCTCCTGACCGTTCGACCAGGTACGTTTCCTGGAATTCGCCTGTGTACCAAAGGTACACCAACAGTGTACGTCGGTGTGATTTCGACATGTGCAACATGCGTTAGGGAGCGCCGCATATTTCGAACGCGGCGGTATATTTCATCGTTATTTTCGGCGGAACGAAACTGTCACAGTTCGCGTGGAGTGCCATTGGATCGCGATTCCATGGGGTCATAGTGGTTCGCGAAAGTATCCGGCGATTTAAATTCCCGCATATGCACGCGTCGCGCGCTGTTTGTTATTTATTGCGCGATATATGTAGCGATATAACGGAAATATGAACGATTCTCAATTTTTATTGCTCGGTTCCACGTTTTTTTTTTAATTCTAATTGTTATTTTAATTTATTCGTGTCCGAACATTATGCAAACTTTGTCACAATGGTGTTGTATGTTAATGAATGCAAATACCGCGGTTTAAATGGATAAATTGCACGTCCATGCTTGTCTTGTAACTAGAAAATACTTCAAACTTGTAGTCGTGTTTCATATTTGTGCGTTCTCAATGTACAAAATAATGTTGATCTGTATCACAATTACACTGTCAAATTCGTAGTGTCAAATTATACTCAATTTAAGTCATTTTTATAACCATTCCTGTAAGTCGTTACTGCTCATATTCGCAGTATATTGTTAATTTAACTAAACCAACGGAGTTAAAATAATACTTTGTGTCAAAATAATAAATTTCGACACACATGGTGGTTAAAAATAACAAAAATGTTATCTAACACAAAGGTATTGGTTTAAATTTAATCCTTCAATATTTAACAGTGTAAGTTTGCAGAATTATTAAGCTGCTGTATTAATTTCTACATATATAAAATCTCGGTGTAAGAGATTCTCTTGTTTTTTTTTAACTGCTAGTTAGTTACCATTTACAAAATTAGCGTCATTACATTCTTGCTTCACCTTGCATTATTAATATGGACAAATCTGATTTTCCAATTTACTATTCCCATTCTCGTTCACTTACAAGAACAGCGCGACACTTGACCAACGGCGATACATTCCATCCCGTTAATCCCTGCTTCCGTTAATTCTCCTTTATTCAACCCGTCAGAGCGCTGGAGCGTTCGCTTAAGCAACAGAGAAAATAGTCTCATAACGAAGAAAAACGGTTCAGGAAAACGCTTAAGACGTTTAATTCTGCGCGATCGTTTTATTTCGCACTTGGCTCTAAAAAAAAAGCAGTATCGTTACTATTGCCATTAAATATGAGATTCTACAGAGTCTCGGCAAACCTCCGTTATGTTTCATATGCCTTAATTTCTTTCTCCCATTTTCAACCTTTCTTCTAAAACCTTCTTAGTAATTTATAACGCGGAAAATAAATATTAAAAGAAATTATTATGATGAAGGTTGCACGACATTTCACATTTCGTAGAATAATTCTGAAAAATTGGAGAAAGGATAGAGACTTGTTGAATTTCAACCTGTATTTCTGAAATTAAAAATGAAGGCAGCGAGTTTCCGTGGAAAATAAATCTGCTCTCATCTTTCTATTTCCTCAAATTCAACAACTTTAACTGATATAACATTTGCTTCCCAGAGCAGAGTTTTCCTGCCTTTTCCCCGATAGGATACGATCGAAGCTGTTTACCGAAAAATGTCACGCTAAACATGTCCATCCTCTTTTTGTTGCAGACTACACGCGACCGCGACGTTACTGTATCCTGAGCGTTCAATCGAGGTACGACAATGACGAGACCGTACGATCGTCAGTATCTCGTCACGTTACTACTGCTGTTGCAAACCATCTCGAGGTACGGCCACGCGGTCACCGCGGAACCGGCGCACGCGGCCGACCTGTCGCCGTCGTCCGCGTCCGTACCGTCCGCACTCTCCGGCCCGGACTACACCGGGCCGTCCGCGGGTTCGGACGAGTGCGATCCCGAGATGGTCGGCTTCGAGCTCGTAACCGGCTACGTGTACACCGCGCCCACGAACATGCTCGAGTCCATACCGGGCACGCTGATGCTCACCGACTGCCTCGAGACCTGTCAGGCAAACGACTCCTGCCAGGCGGTCAACTACGAGACGGGCCTTTGCGTCCTATTCAGCTCTAACGCCGACAGCAATCCAGGTAAGATTGAATCGTTATCGTATCTTCCTAAAGACTGTAGTACGAACTATCGACCACGTATGCGCGCTGATGCTCAACAAACTCCCGAGGCTACCTCTATCCCGATAGATAACTGCTCTAAGGTGGATATGTCTTTCTTTTTTCTTTACGAGAGTAAAGTCGGAGCGGAACGCAGACCACTTGATTGCCTTATTACGCGGACGTTAATTAAGAACATTCTACAACTTCACGGTGGCATAAAGGAATAGTTTCTCAGCGTTTTGATAGAGTTCTTTTTTTTTGTGTACCGTACATTCAAAATTAATAGGATTGCTTTAATAGACGCATTTAACCGAGCGATACCGTTACCTTTCTCGCTGAGAAAAATCAAATGACAATAATATTTAGAGCGGCGAGTGAGAACCAAGATTAATATGCGATAATCTTCCTTGATCCGTTATCATTAAAATTAGATTTCCATATGTACATGCGGGATGAGCGAGCCTCGAGGTTCCGCGCCCGTCGTCTTGTTGTTGTTTTGCGCAATTACGGCGTTTTCATAGGATAACCGAAGTATGTTAAGATCGTTTCACATCAGTCTCCTACGAACATTTTGTGTAATGTAAGGATCGCTTTGGGCGAAGTGCAATAATTTTCTGTACAATGCCCGCGGTACCAATTGCCTTGATCTACCGGATGAAAATAAGCGAAACAAAACGCGAGACATAATAGACGGTGTCGTCCGGTACTCACGTCGGTGAGAATCGGGTCGATGTGCTTATCACACGTTCCTCCGCAAACCGTACGCGGTAATTTTTCACCTGTCTAATCTATTAATTAATACATTAATAATGAAAAGATATTAAGGATAAGATAATTTCGCAGAGGTTGATTAAGGATTCTATATAACGCGCGCGAGAGAGATTGTACGCTTGATAATTTCTGCGGATTGTGGAAATGGTGCGCGAATATTAAACATAAATTTCCACACTCGTGTCAAAGGATTTAGAAATCTCTATTAAAATATTAAGCACATCTCGGAATTATTAATATATGAATTATGAATGTGATATGAAATTTTTCGTTTATTAAGACCCCGAGCAAAAATGTATATAAGTACGGCAGATCGCGAAATAATTTTTATTATTTAGCTTGATATAAATTATTTTCTGCCAATAATAAGATTGCCTTCCATTTTCTTACTGATGTATGCAAATATCGGATTTTTTCGTAAGCTATACTATGTATAATCTATATATGTATATAGCAGTTGCAAGTTTAATTCTGACGTATATTTTGAACAAAAATTTCCAATGTCGAATCAATATCGTATAAAAATATCGGGAATTCTGCATGGAACTGTGCAATAATCGTTCCCATTGTATGCAACAATCTGTCACGAATATTATCTTTCGCAATATATTTCAGTTTTCAATTTTTCTAGAAATATATCACACTCGAGAGAATCAGTATTTTCATATTGGTATTTAATTGCAGGCGCATATGCATATTAGAAAAAAGGTGCATTAAAATGTTATTATTGTTAAAATGTTAAGATGCGACATATCTAATGAACAACACAAATGCGTGGCGTAATGAAAAATAACTGAATTAAATACAACTTGAATTCTACAGTGTAGAATTTCGTAAAATTGATAAAGTTACAAATTCTGTAATGCAATTTCATTAAGTAATATCGACTCTTTCATATCGCGAGTAACACGAATGGTCGATCGAGCTCTTTGGCAGATCCTCTGGAATTTCCGTCTAGAGATTTTCGTTCGAATCTTATTTAAATTTTTGCAGAGTACAAAACAGCTTTCGCACTTTCAGTGCGGTTGATTTTTCTACGAGAGGCTGCACCCAGCGGAGCCACATATTGGGTGTCGCCCTGAGGTACACTCTTTCTCGAGTATTTCTTGACCCATTATTTTCCCGCCGCTGTTGAATGCCTTTACGGCACGTATGCGAATATATATCTTTCTTGAAGAACTTTGAAACGCTGATAAAATCTTGAAGTAAAAACAGCATCGCAGCAAATTCGTCATTGTTACATTTTATTCTAGTATCAAATAGTGACTTAATATATATAATAAAAGGAATTAAATATATAATAAGTAACGTGTGTTTCAAAGATTTACAACTTCTGGAGTTTATTTTCACACATTAAGTAGTTACAATCGAAGATATTAAACTCTTAAGAGAAATAAAAGTTATTGTGTAGTTTTTGGTTTTATATAAAATTATAAATGATTTAATATTTTGATACAAAGAAAATTTACTTATTATAAATATCTTTCTCCTTTTCTCCTCTCTGCCTTCTCTACGTACGTTTTACATCAAATTTTTATTTTTGTATATTTCGCGCACTTTATAAAAGACCAATATATATGCGTTACGTGTATACATTTATATATTCGGTTCTGACGATGAATTATAAGGATCACGTGCATTGTCAGAGGGTGCTATCGCAGTGGTTCCTCATGAATAATGGATACCAGTATAAGTAAGTGTAATGAGAAACGCACTAATTGAATCTTCCGAGGTATAATTAATATAAACTATACGTCCGCAGACGTTGGACTTGTGGGCATTAATTAAACGGCAGAATGGGATCTTATATATACCTATGGAGAGAAGCGGTATTGTTCCGTTGATATTTTTCGAGCGCATCTGTCAGGGGTAACACATACCAGGTAATTTGCTTCCGAGATGAGGAAACTAAAACGGACGTGTATAAATTACTATCGCGTTGCAAGCTGACCAACGTTTTAAGTGGCGTCTTAAAAAGCGGAATGTCATTGTGTATATCTGAAAACAATTTACTGACTGATCATTTATCCGTGATATTATGACTATTTTATAATTTGCGCAATATTCTTTTTTTCTACAACTATAGATATATATTTTATCAATTTATTGTATGACATTTTAATTAGAATCACAACACTAAATTAATTAAATGTTTCCAAAATATTTCCACTATGACACATACATTGATTAAAATACTTTTTATTTGTAAAGAGCCTTTATATGGGACAAAAACGGACAATCTAATGGACCAACCGAGATTTACCTCACGCCAGTTTTTCTACAGAGAACTAACTATACGACCGGAACAAATTTTCGGTTGTGTGAAAGACAACTCTATTTTCCAATTGCGAACCGTGACGCCGGAAGTGACGCCGTAACTCGCGCTGGCGAACATCTGTGGTGGCTAATAGAATAAAAAAGTCAATGTCTCGCGATCTCACGTAATCCTTGCGCAATATTTCTCTTACGCGATTGTCATGCCGGATAATTGCCGAAAGGCACGGCACGCCGGAACTCTCGGAGGAAGCGCGCAATCGCTTCGTCGACGCGACGCGTCGTTTTACGCTCGCGTCTCTCGTACCGTCATAAAACCATCAACGCTCGAGCGCACACGTGATAATCCAGCGGTACGGCGTAGATACGAGTAAAGGGACGTTAAGGTGCGTCTAAGGAGAAGGAGCGGAGAAAGTAAAAGGTATTTGAGACAGGGCGCGTATACATGTAAAGTCTTCCTCACGGGCATCTCACGCATCGACGACCGTTTACGGCAAATTTCTCGGAGAAAACCCCCTTACGTGCTGGCGCACAAGTATGCCTGTATGTGACAGCTTGACGTCTTACAAAGTACTCTTTTTACCGCTTTTAACCCGCTTTCATCTCGCACCCGCACGCTCGTTGTCATCCGTTTTTCCCCCTTACGTTACCGGAATAAGAAAGATTTAGCGTTAATCGCGAGGTTTTTTTGACGACGACGACGGCGGCGGCGCGAGACGCTGAATGCTGCGCCGTCAACGTGATAGGATCTTCTACGAAGCGAGGACAGAACGGTGAAGAAGTTAATTCGATCGGTCAGTCGTGGATGTTCCAAGAGCGGAGAGGATCTCCGGTCACGCTTTGATAGTCTCTCGACACGAGTTTCCTTTCGGCACGATCGTCGCATCGTCGAATGAATCTTGTCCGTTCCCCCGCCGCCACCCGCCCTCCTGCCCCGCCACTTGTCCATTAAAAACAAAAAGACCGTGGAAATCGGAATCTTTCTGCCGAATTCTTATCCGCCGAAACCGAGACGAATGGCCGGAGTAAAATGCTCGCTCGGCCGCGGCTGCGCATAACACGCGATCGTGATCAATACCGGCAACAAGACGGCGACAATCGGGCGACGACATACCGCGTCACGATCACGAAACTTCTAAAGCCGGGGCCCCGTTAGTCGACGATAGGATCGTCGTTTGCACCGGGCGAGAGCGAGCGAGCCTCGCGCGTCTCTCTAACGCGTTGGGCCCTCTCTTTCCGTCCCCGGTGGTGCTTCGTTCGCGAACAACCATTTGGCACAGGAGGCACTAGCGCAAGCGACCGAACGTCCGCCGAGGCAATTAGTTCTGGACGATATAGTCCGGTTTAGACGGCCGACCGGCAACGCCGCGCCGCGCCGCGCCGTCCGGTCTGCAGGTTGAATTCTCTGCTAATACCGCGCTTCGCCCTAATGCGTTCTTTCTACATGATCGTACGCAAGCCCCCCCGACCGTAATCGCGGCCTGGTGGTACCGCCACAAGGAAAATTTGCTCCCGTCGATTCGCAACGATGATTCTCGCCGCGCGCTCGCGTTCCATCGAGCATGCACCGCGAATAAACGTAGCTGCTTTGAAGGTAAAGGTAAAGGTAAAGGTTTCTCCCAAGCGATCGAACAAGAATTGATAACTCTGATATATTGACAATTCTTTGACGTACCGCATGCGCAGAAATTGTACACTTTTGCATGTAGCTTCTTTACATTTCTGGAGTGCTTTTTTTATTTTTTTTTTTTTTTTGTGAAGCTTCTTACTCTCACACAAACGATAGAATTATTTAATATTGCATGAAGTTACAGCTCATCTATATTCATCTAATAGCAGTAAACGCAATACGCGAAATACTTTCCGCAGCTTCGCGACCGAAGCTTTTCGAGAGGAATGTAAAGCAGTTTTTCTGCATGCCGATTGCCTTAATT